GGTCACACTTAGTCCAAGCTGCACAAACACAATGCAAGCCTAACTCCTTGAGATTGTGGGGGAGGTCGAGTCTCTGACTCAAGACCTCCAGGCTCTGTGGACTCTGTCAGACACATAGCTGGCTCCCAACAATTTCTTGGTTCAGGGAGTATTCCAATTCACTGAGGTTATTTTGATCTCTATCCTGTTGATTAAATTCTTTACAAAATAGGTTTAGCTAGAGGGCACACAGTGACTTTCCCAATCAATTATGGAGCTATAAACACGTCAGCACAATAATTTACCAATCATCAATTATGGGGTTATGAACATGTCAGCACATAACCAGATTAGTTTAGGCAAGGCTGCTTCCATACTTGTCCAGGTAGATTGGTCTAGGTGATCCTGACTAAATTCCTTTAGCCACTTGGCATTATCTAGAATTCAGTGTGTCCTCTCCTCAACCTGTCCAGTTGAGTTAACACAGAAGCAATAAGATGTATTTACTATCATGCATATGCCCCCTTCTTTAGCTAGTACATAATCTAGTGCAATGAGATTATTTATTACCATGCAGGCCACAGAGTCAAGGGATTTTGAAAGAAGCCTGAAATTTTCACTTGTATCTCCACCTATATTCGCCATGGAGGTGGTTACATTTTTTGCTATAATGGCATTATAAGTAATTCCTTCCATGAGGCCCACAGTAGTAATTGCAGCTATGACTCCTGCTATGAGGGGTCTGACTTCCCTTTTTTCCCTATGATGGCTTCTGGTCTTAGGGCTTGATGAGGTTGAATTAGGGATGAAGAAATGGATTAAGGTATTGGCTGGGGTGACATATTTTACTGCCCAAAAGCCACCCTGTTTTTCTGGGTTTAGGCATTGAATAGCAATTCCTCTCCTGAAAACAGCATTCTTGCTGATAGGCAAAGCAGTCCAGTCATATTTGGGTCTAGGGAGGTGTTTGATAGATTCATAGTAAGACTCAAATGATTAAACCATGATAGAGAGAGGAGAGGGTTAGTGCCGCCACAGAACTATGCCCTGGATAGTGACTAATTTCCCTGGTGTAATTTTTCTGGTATTTAAGTCCCTCTGAGCTTGCACATATAAACTCCCATTGCAGGGGTTAGACACATCATGAATAGTTAGATTACAGGTATCTCTCATAAGGTCATAGTGAGAGATATCATACATGATGCCCACTTTCACAGTCTGTGTTTCTACTGAGAATCAAGATCAAGAGAGCTTTTGCCCTTCCGCTCCAGGGGAGGTTTCTATCCTCCCTGAGCTTGCCTTAGGACACCTGCATTATTGATTGACAAGTATACCGCCCCAGTTAAACTCCCCACCTGGCACTGTCCCCAGAGCAAATTGCACCTGGCTGGTGCGGCTTGGCGCCAGAAGCGAGAGCCCCTCGGGGCTTGCCCCCACTCCCCTGCCTCACTGGGTCAGTAAAAAAATGATGAGAGTAGCGGTATTTCACCGGAGGCTAGCAAGGCCAGTGGACCCCACCCTACCCCCTCGAGAAGACGAGAAGACGGAGGGGAGCTGGGGGTTTATGTTAGAAGAGGAAGCAGATTCTTGGAGGACACAAAGAATGAATGGTTGGTGGGGAGAGAAGGAGTAAAGGTTAAAGTAGTATGGAGTTTAGATAGCATGTGCCACCCTAACAAGGGAGTGGGGCAAGCTGGTAATGCAAGAAAAGAGTGGAGAAAGATATAAAGGCCTCAAAAAGAACAAATGAGTGTCTTGTTGCCCTGGGTTGCAATATTTGGCCATCAATTCCCACAACTGAAACCTCAGTGTTGAAGAGGTCCCTGACCTCAAGGAGGGCAGAGTAGTTTGCTCTGGTATCAATTAAAAATGAAATTGGGCCCTGGCTTGTTTGGTTCAGTGGTTAGAGCATCAGCCTGCAGTCCAGAGACACCTGGGTTTGGTTCCTGCTAAGGGCACATACCTTGGTTGCAGTTTGTCCCGGCCCTGTTTGGGTCGTGCAGGAGGCAACCACTCAGTGTGTCCCTTTCACATCGATGTTTCTCTTTCTCTCTCTCTCTCTCTCTATCTCTCTCTCTCTCTCTCCCTTCCACTCTATCTGAACAAAATATGGAAAAATGTCCTCAGGTGAGGATAAAAAAAAAAAAAAAAAAGAAATTGGCCTACCTGTTGCCATCAGAGTTACCCACGGTTTAAAGTTTGAGATGATGGTCAGGGCATCCATTCTTGGGCACCTTCAGTCTTCAGCTGCCAGGCCAATCAGATCAAGGCCTGGATTGCCCATTCTGCTAACCCAAGGAAGGGATGAGGACTGATTCTGTGTAGTCTGTCCACAGTCCGACTTCCAGTGGGGTCCTCCACATTGAGGACATGGCTTAGGCAGTGGTCGAGGATTGGGGCATTGTCTCACTCAATGGCCAGTCTGATTGCACTTAAAGCAGGAAAATGGGGGTCCACTATGTTGATCCTGGTGGGCGCCCTTCTTCTGTCCCGTGAAGGGGGTTTTCTGACCCCTTTGATTGGTGGGGGCTCTGATGGCAAAGGCAAGCATTTGGAGTCCTATTATTCTTTGCTGTTTAGCCTATTCATCATGATGATTAAACACCTTAAGGGCTAGATTTAAAAGTTCCCGTTGAAGAGTTTGAGGACCATCTTCCAGTTTTTGTAACTTTCTCCTACTGTCTGGAGCTGACTGAGAGACAAATCTCAGGCTTAAAATGACAGTTCTTTCTGGACTAGTGGGATCTAAGTTAGTATATATTCTCATAGCCTGTGTAAGGCAGGATAGAAAGGTTGCAGGATTTTTATTTCTTTCCTGGATTATTTCAGAGTAAAGGGTTCTAGTCTTTTATTTATTTGGGACAAATCTGAGAGAGAAAGCAGAGGACAATTCCTTCAACTCCTGCTGCTTCCCTCAGGGGGCATTCTAAAATGGGGGCCAAGGTAGGGGACAGATAGGGACCTGAGATGGTTCCCGATTGATCCTGTGTGTGGGTGAGTCATTTGTGGGGGTAGAAGAGTGTGAGCCAGAGTAGGAGGTTCAGGGAGGAGTGGAAGGCCCACAGAAGGGGCTGGAGGAGTAGATGGTGGAGCGAGATCAGCTGGGTCAAAGGAGGAAACTGGAGAAGTTAGCCCACTGTCTTCAGAGGGAGGTTTGGGAGGATTAAAGTAGAGTGAAAAGATTTGGCAGGGAGAGAAAGAATCACATGAAGAGGGGTGTGATCTGAGTGCAAAGGGGCCTAGATGTAAGGAAACTCAGACCATTTTCCTTGCTTTTGACAGAAATTGTCTAGGTTGGTAGAATTTCGAAAGTTCCACTCTCAGGCTATTGTGACCCATTGTCTAATTTGTATTGAGGCCACGTAGTGTTGTACTAAAAAATGAGTCACTTGGGACCTAAGTCCTGAGTGAGCCCAAGGGTCTGTAGATTTTTTAGGAGACATTCTAGGGGTATTATACCATGTTGCAGTGTGAGATGTCATGGCCTAGTGGTCTGATGGATACACTAATGGAAGAAGAAAGCATCCCTGCTTCTCCCCTAGAGTAGAGAGACGTGTAACTTATGTATATCAGGCGTCCCTAGATATATGGTGAGCTGAGGGAACTGGTTATCGAGGAGTGTGTCCCAACCAGCGCTTGATTTCAGAGGGACAATCACACAGGAGTAACTGAGAGCCTGGCTCTCATGTCCCAGACAGGGGATAACAAGACAGCCTGGAGAATCAGACCAGTAGGCATAAAGAAAATACTCACAGTGAATTAGTGTCTGGTGTTGATAACAGATCAGCAGAAAAGGTTGGAGGTCCGGTATCCGGCTGAGGGTGTGATTGATCCTGGTCCAACTGGAGGCCTGGAGGACTCTGGGGGCCTGTGGTTGCCCTCTATGATGGATCCTCACAGACCTTCTGAATTTGGGCACCAAATAAAAAGCCTGAGCCAGTGGGAGATCACATCCACAACGCAAGGCCAGTGTACAGCAAAATGGCTTTATTGTATATGCCTGGGTGCAGGCGGGCTGAGCCAGAAGGGTTCAGCTCCAAATTAGGATTGGGGTGTCAGTTATATACCTACTTTTAGCTTTTGGCACTTCTTGCTGATGTACTTTATCTGGCCCATTGTCCACCTTAAAGTAGGGCTGGTCTGGTATCTTGTCAGGCATCTGTTGGGTTATCCATTGCCTTGCGGACAATCCAGATATAAGGTTGGACAATGCAGATAAACCTTATCCATACTCAACAAAAGGTTGAGCCAAAGTCATGCAAGCAACACAATTTCCAGTTTCTGCCTTTTGCAAACTTTTACCTTTACCCTTTAAAACATTACTAACCCTTTCAGAAAGGAAATTCCATGCCCTGCACAGAAATCTGCAGCTTTTACAGGGGTGGGCAGATAGCGGGGTCCTTGTTTCCTCCCTACTTTCCTCCCACCTAAAACGGAGATAGTGGTGGACAGGGGCACAGCTGAGGAGGAGATGGGAAAAGGATATGACTGAAGGGACTGCAGCTGTGAGGCAGGCTACCAAGGGAGGGGTACTGGTGGCAGGCCATCTCACTGGTCTGGGGAGATGACGCATCTGCCCTGAGCTGATTGGAGTCCTCCTGGCCTTCGGAGCCCCACCTGCGACCCAGCTATATATAGAGTCTTCTTAGCTGAGCCCCATTTGCAATGGTGACCTATGAAGGGTCAAGCCTCGCCCACTGAGAAACCATGACCGGCCCAGAGAGCCTTCCCACAGGGGCGCTTAGGAGCAAAGTGCTGGTGTCCCGTTGCTCCTCCACCGTCCAGCGCTCCAGGGGCTTCGCCATCACCGAACTACTGGGCCTGGAGACCGAGATGCCATTTCCTGCTGGACCCAGGTGGGGCCGGACAGCAAGGGTCTGGCAGCCGCGCCCTGTTCTGATTCTGGGCTCCGCAGCCCCTCCCTAGCGCGAAGGGTTCTTCAGCTGGGTCTCAGTCTTCTCTGCGGCTTAGGCGCACAGCTCCTTGCAGCAGCTAGGGCGCCCTGCCTGCTACTTGTCGACATGCCCTCTCTGCCTCCTGGGGCCTCAGCCTGTCAGCTCTCCACCGCCCCCCTATCCCGGCTTGGCCGCCAGAAGAGCTTCCAGGGCGTCTCCACATCCGGTAATCCGGTAATCCGGCAGACCATCCCGCTTTTAACCCTGTCCCTTCCAGTTTGGTTAGCATACGAGTAACAAGCATTGTCCCACTGGGCTCCCACCTCACCATCCCAGATCTAGGGGAAGTCGGGACTCTAGATCCTTCCCAGGCCCTTGGCAGGCGCATCCTCACCCCCGCGTCCCCTGCCTGCTGCATCTCTCTAAATGCCTGCTTCTCCTTTGATTCTGGTCTCTGCAGAGGGTGAATACCACTACCACCGGGTGTCGGACCTACCCTGGGGGTCTCGAGGACCCAGCATCGGTATGCCAAGGGCCTTTCCTCAGCGCCCCGCGCAAACCTCGGCCTCTGGGAAGGCCAAGGTCGAAAGGCCTGAGTCTGTCTTGTTTACCAGCAACACAGAACCTGGTAACCTTTGGGCGCTCAAACTTTTGCAGAATTTGTTGACGGGCCATTGAAGGGCCTGGGGCCCTGGGCCTTTCTGCCACCCCCTGTGCTGACAGGATGTTTGGGTGCCTCACTTTTCTCCTGGCTCAGCCCTTCACCCTCCCTATTCTTGAGAAAAGAAGCAGACTCTCGCTCAATTTCATTGTATTTAGGTTTAGCGTTTAGGTTTGAGCCTGCCAATTTCCTCAAAGACATCGAGGTGGATTATAGGGAAAGAAGGAAGCAATACAATTCTTTAAAGGACAAGGACCTAGAAACTGAGACGTTGATGGTGTTAGGGGGGGAAAAAAGGAAAATTACATAAGAAAACACCAACTGAGAGAAACTGTAGAGCTGAGCATACAAGCAGCCAAACAAAAAAAGTACATTGGGTCTCCACCGATAATAAAAGGAAGGCAGTAAGTAGGCAAGTGAGTTTTTGCTCAGCTCCAAAAGGACCTTATTTCATGAAGTCTATAAAATAAAATGAACCCTCTATTAGTTTTTTGTTTTTGTTTTTTTCACTAAAAATATAGAAACCACCTACATAGGATGGGATCTCTTTCTCTGTGAGCATGGATAAAATGAAAAGCAAAATGCAACTAAATCTTAGTTTGTGAGAAAATTTCTGGAAGATCAAGGAGAACACTATCCATTAGAAATATGTGACTCTGAGGGTAAAGAAAATTTCTTTTTTTTAGAAAAAGATTTTTTTTTATCCTCACCCGAGGACATTTTTTGATATTTTGTTCAGATAGAGTGGGAGGGAGAGAGAGAGAGAAACATTGACGTGAAAAGGACACATCAAGTGGTCACCACCCACACAACCCAACCACGGCCAGGGACAAACTGCAACCGAGGTATGTGCCCTTAGCAGGAGCAGAACCGGTGTCTCTCCAGACCACAGGCTGACACTCTAACTGCTGAGCCAAACTGGCCAGGGCAAGGAAAATATTTTTTAATTGAAGTTTTAGAGAGAGAAAGAGTGAGGGAGAGAGAAACATACATGTAGAGCAAAACATTAATCTGCTGCATCCTGCACACCCCCTAAGGGGGATCCAGCTGGAGCTGGAAACCTGGGAGGGGGAATCAAACTGGCAAACTTTTTGGTGTATGGGACCATGCCCAACCAATTGAGACACACATTAAAAAGGAAAAATAGACAAGTGAAATTAATTTAAATAGTATATTATATTTTATCCAGTACATACAAAATATCATTTACAAGTAATGAATATAGAAATTATCAGTATTTTACTTTTGGGGTACTAAGTCTTCTAAATCAACTGAATATAGTACAATTTACAGCAGGTCTCAATTTGGACCAGACACATTTCATGTGGTCGATAACGTTGTATCTAATGGTCCCAGATAGGACAGCATGGGTATTATATTATATAATCCAAGCATACAGGTTTTTGGTGAGCTAATTGATGATGGAGTAAAACTAATATTATTTTGTTATTTTTCCTTTAATTTAATTTTTTAAATACTTTGAGGCAAAAATGCTTTTAAACAATGAATCTGACAATAGTTTGATAGTCTAATCTTCCTATTTTATCAAAAGATAACGCATAGTAGGGTTCTTAATATTTTCAAGTGCACCTAACAATCATCTGGGCATATTTTTCAAGAATGAGTTTCTGAAGGCCACTTCCAGAGATTCAGAATTGGTACAGCAAGGCAAGGAGTGCAATTTTGACAAGAGTTCTGATGTCACAAACCTCAGCCCTCTTTTGAGAAATGTTGGTGTGCTGATTAAGATAAAGAAGTTGGAAACAGAAGGAACTGGGTGAATTTGGGAGCTGAGTGAGGATAGAAAATTCAATTAGTAGCCAAGTAGTCTTGGCTTTACACAGTCTGGGGTTTGAATCCCAACTTCACCATTACTCCCTTGTATGATCTTGGACAAATTACTTAATCTCTCTGTGCCTCAGTTTCTTCATTAGTAAGAATAGGATGCTAATACCTTGGAGTTCTCTATTTTATGAAGAATAATTGCAATAATGCATGAATGACTCTGAGCACAGCACCTAGATTATAGTGAGTGCTAAAAATGCTAGCTTGTATTGCTAAATATTACTCATATTCTTCAACAGGCTCAGAGCTTGAATCTTTGTATTAAAATCCAGAAAATAAGCCCGGCCAGTGTGGCTCAATGGATCGAGCATCATCCCATGTACTGAGAGGTCCTGGTTCGATTCCCAGTCAGGGCACATGCCAGGGTTTTAGGCTCAATCTCCCACTGAGGGCAGGAGGCACCAATTGATGTTTCTCTCATAGATGTTTCCATTTCTCTCTCTTAAAAAATCAATAAAAACTTACTTTTTAAAAATCCAGAAAATAAAGTGAAATATATGCTCACCTTTAAAATACTCTTTCTCCTTGTGCTAACAGATAAAGAAAACCTATCTGAAAACAGAAGTGACCTGAAAGTGTCCCCCATCCCTGGCAAGAGGAAGAAGAAGCGGCACAGGTACAGGGCCAGGCCATCCTTCCTGACCCTCTTCTCAGGACACAGAGCAGCTGGAGAGTGTGTGGTCCTTCCTCAGGAGAGGCCCAGTGACCATCAGGTTGGCAGTGGGAAGGGTATAGTAACCATTTAGGAACATAATTCTGCAAGTCCAAGGAGGCTGCAGGACAGTATTGTAGCATTTAAAAGGCAGTTTTGTGGGGCTTTAAAATGGGTCTTCTCGAATGGATAAAAAAGTTGTGGTACATATACACAATGGAATACTATGCAGCAGTAAGAAAGAAAGATCTCTCATCCTTTGAGACGACATGGAGGGACCTGGAAAGTGTCATCCTAAGCGAAACAAACCAAACAGAGAAAGACAAATATCATATAATCTCACTTATTTGTGGAATATAATGAACATAACAGTCTGAGAATGGGGTAGCCCCAGAGATGTGGAAGTGGGGTACAGACTGACTATCCCCAGAAGAGTGGTGGAGAGATAAACCACAGAACTTATATGCATGAACAACGGACATGGACAACAAAGCTGGGGAGAGGGTGGGGAGGGAGGGGTGGTGGGAATCAGTGGGGTAAAAAGGAGAAACATCTGTAACAAAAATAAATTAATTAATAAAAATAAAATAAAATAAATTCAAAATAGATAAATAAATAAAATGGGTCTTCTTAGTATTACATTGAGGAGAAAAAAAGTGCTGAAGAATTCTGTCTTATTTGAACCAAACTTCTGCATTTTCTAGAAGTTAATCATTCAGAGGCAGAGTTTTCAGTTATGAGGTGGCCTTTTGGGTTGTGGACAGTGGGGGAGGTAGGCACAGGGTCCCTGAGCTGGGAAGCCTGGCATTCTCCTTTGGACACATGGACACATGTCTTTTGGGCCTCCTTCAGGACTGTTTTCACCACCCAGCAGCTGCAAGACTTGTTCAGCAAGGCACACTACACTGATGTGTATGCCCAGGAAATGCAGACCATGAAAGCTAAGCTCCCTGAAGACCAAATACAGTTGTCTGGGGTTCCCTTCTCCTTCCCAAAGACAACACAGATAACATATTAATCTCATACCCATTGTGATCCACAGCCTCCCCTAAAACGCCAAACACATTCCCTTGCACAGGCAAACAGGGTCGCTCAGCTGCAGGCACCACAGTGCTAGAGCCTTCCTTGATGTTTATGTAAGAGGATATCCTCTGTAACCTTCTTGCCTTTTTCATTTTATTAAGTCATTCTTTAAAATCACAATAAAAATATATCAATGAAAGAAAATGACCATCCATCCCTATAAACTCTCAAAGAAACCAATATAAGTAGCCTGATGTGTGTGTGTATACTCATATACATATAGAATTTTGTTTTGTTTTTACAAAAAGGTAACATTTTATACAACTTTGCCTCTTTGTTTAACAATACCTCTTCAACATTTGTCCAGGTCAGAAGATATGCCACAAATTTATACTTTTTAAAGAACTAAACAATATTCTATACTATCATTTTATTAAGCAAACAGTTTTTCATGAGAAATATCACCAGCAACTCAACAACCTGAGATTAGAATGGGCCATTGAGTGGCCTCTTTCCAAACCATAAGAAAAATCAGAAAACATTATAGTTGACTCCTTTATACAGTGTGAGAAAGAATACTTTAATTTTTTGTCAAGTTTATGGAAAACTTCATTGGGAACTAGTCACACAGTGATGAGTCCCTGTGAGTTCTGAGTGAACAGTGAGCACAGTTCCTGAAAGGTCTGGGTCTTATGAGCTCCCTGGGTTGGCCCATTTTATTTATTTATGTATGTATGTATGTATATATGTATTTATTTATGTTTTAATCCTCACTCGATATTTTTCCATTGATTTTTAGATAGAGTGCAGGGAGGGTGGGGAGAAGAGAGAGAAATAACAATGTAAGAGAGACACATCAATTGGTTGCCTCCTGCATGATCCCCACCAGGGCCAGCAATTGAACTGCAACAGAAGTATGTGACCTTGGCTGGAATCAAACCCACAACTCTTTGGTCTGAAGGCCGATGCTCTAACCACTGAGCAAAACTGGCCAGGGCACCAAGTTGGCCCATTTTAAAACTCCCCACTCAGCGACACCTCCTAACACCTTGGTCACAGCGTCTCCTGCCTTATACCAGGTCTGGTTTCAAAATGAGAGGGCCAAATGATGAAAGGAGAAACACGGATAGCAGCAGCGTGATGGCCCAGTATGGGCTCTACAGGGCCATGGTGCGGCACTGTATCCCTTTGCCGGACTCTGTCCTCAACTCCTCAGAGAGCAGCAGCCTGGCCAGTTTCTGTGTGCCCATGGTCCATGGTAAGGAAGAGGGCCCTGCAGTTAGCACAAAGGCCAGAGATGTTGGGGGTGGCATTGAAATCAGACAACAAATGGGCCCGGGCCAACTGTCACTACTTGAGCCAATTAAGCAGAAACAAGTTTAAATAGCATATAAGTGATTATTCCAATATTGCCAGCAGTATGGGAGAACAGTGAGTCATCCTGTAAAATCTGCTCTGCTGCCTGTCACTTGCCAGCTTCTTGTAAAGGGTAAAGAAACAATGACTACATGAGAAAGGGCAATTGAGCAAAAAAGGAAAAAAAGGGCCCGGACCGGTTTGGCTCAGCGGTTAGAGCGTCGGCCTGCGGTCCAGAGAGACCTGGGTTTGGTTCCCACTAAGGGCGCGTACCTCAGTTGCAGTTTGTCCCCGGCCCTGGTTGGGTTGTGTGGGTGGCAACCACTCAATGTGTCCCTTTCACGTCGATGTTTCTCCCTCTCTCTCTCCCTCCCACTCTATCTGAACAAAAAATGGAAAAATGTCCTCGAGTAGGGATTTAAAAAAAAAAAAAGGAAAAAAATGGTGGGGGTGTAAATTGTTTACAGGCAAGGAGGAAGAAATATGAGCAGTGGGGCTGCAAGGGCTAGTCACCAGTGAGTCTCAGTCTCAAGTCCAGTGTTCTGATAATGAGGTTGTTAACCTTTCCATGATGTCAGGTAGTCCCTCGTGTCCTCAGATTAGGAGAATGGACAGCATTCCTGATGGAAACTCCTGAGGTACACACCTCCTGGCTAGGTCAGAGTGGGCTTTTCTTAAACCAGAACAAACCAACCACAATTAACATTGTAAAGGATGATTAACTTTTCTTTTACCTATGGCTAGTACACCACTATGATTAGTTCTCTATTCTATTATTCTCTCCCACTCCTTTCAGCATCCCTATGTGGGACAGCCATTTGCAAAGCAAAACAATGTGAGTTTACTCAGATTCAGGCCCAGAATATCACATTGAATTTTAATTAATTACAAGGTTTGGTCAGTCGCCTTATTTTTTATTAGAACCGTGTAGATAGTGTGTGGCAAATTCACATCAGGCCTCAGATTTAAGAGTGGAATGATATGCTTCTATAATGTGAAATATGTTTCCAAAATGTTGTGTGCTATTAGAATTTTGGGACGCTATTAAATTTAGAGCTCATGGTAATAGCAAACAGGAAGTGTATATAGCAAGCAGTGAAACCTGGAGATGATGAATGCCCTACGTACCCAAGTCAGGAGGTCTGGTTCTGGTAGTGGTTCTACCATTAATAACCTGCCACATAGCTTTTATTTCCCTTAGATATTTGGTGCTATAACAGTCTGCACTGGTGAGGTGCAAGCATTGGGCCTGTGTGTTCTGAGGAAACGCCACCTTTATTGGTCTATTTGCTGTTACCAGAGACCAAGGGGCAGGGAACATAACTTGTAGAAATGAGTCACAATGGCACTCTGGGAAGGGTGGGAGATTAGAGTTGGGACCTGGGGTTAGCATTTTAGGTGGGAGAGGAAGACAGTGTTCAGCAAATATTTTTTGAGTCTCTACCAACCAGATACTATTCTGGGACTGGAGGTACTAACTGTAAATACAGTCTTGACTTTGCCCTCAAGGATTGAAGAGCCGAAAAAGAAAATTTCAGTGAGAAATCAAGTCCATGCCTCTGAACTTACAGGATCAGAGGTGGAAAAGGGAGTGGTGGTGCTTTCTGGCATCTACAGGTTCATGGCCATACAAGAAACTGGGACCAGTGCTGTCAGACATTCTGACTTTTTGAGAGAGGTTGAAACTCTGACTTTTGATGCAATCTCCTGATTTTAAAATGTTGACAACAAATTTAAAAATGAAACTAGAACATCAACTTACACCATACACAAGAATAAACTCAAAATGGATAAAAGACTTAAATGTGACTCATGAATCCATACAATCCTAGAAGAAACTGTAGGCAACAAAATTTCAGACATACGCAGCAGAATTTTCACTGATACATCACCTAAGGCAACAGAAACAAAGGAGAAAATAAATACATGGGACTACATCAAACTCAAAAGCTTCTGCACAGCAAAAAACACAATCATCAAAATGGAAAGGCAACCCACTGTATGGGAGAGCATAATTGCCAATGATATATCAGATAAGGGGCTAATTTCCAATATATAGAGAGTGCTCATACAACTCAACAAAAGGAAAACCAAACAACCCGATGAAAAGAATGGGCAGAGGAACTAAATAGACACCTCTCCAAAGAGGACATATAAATGGCTAAGAGACATATGAAGAAATGCTCAAAATCACTAATCATCAGAGAGATGCAAATTAAAACAACAATGACATATCACCTCACAACTGTTAGAATGGCCACCATCAACAAATCATCAAACAACAAGTGTTGGCGAGGGTATGGAGAAAAGGGGACTCTAGTGCACTGTTGGTGGGAATGCAGACTGGTGCAGCCACTATGGAAAACAATATGGTGTTATCTCAAAAAATTAAAAATTGATTTGCCATTTGACCCAGTAATCTTACTTCTAGGATTATACCCTAAGAAGCCTGAAACACCAATCAGAAAGAATATATGTAACCCCATGTTTGTAGCAGCACTATTTACAATAGCTAAGATCTGAAAACAGCCCAAATGTCCATCAGTAGACGAATGGATAAAAAAGCAGTGGTACATATACACAATGGAGTACTATGCAGCTGTAAGAAAAAAAGATCTCTATATAAGGGAAAAAAATGGCGGCAGAGTGAATGGAAGCTACACAGACTGTATCCCAGGACAAACTGGAATTACAACAACAATAAAGACAAATTGTCAGGAAAAAGCAACAGAAAAGCAGCTTGGAATACTACATAACCAAGGACACTGACTCAATCCTGGTAGGCTTGCAGAGACGAGAGTGGGGGGCTGGGAGCCAACGGTGAGCAACGGCCTTAGCTGGGAGCAGCGGCCCTGGTGGCGGCCTTAGCTAGGAGCCCACTGACAGCAGTGGCCTTGGCTGGGAGCAGCAACCTTAGCTGGGAGCCCACAGACAGCAGCGGCCTGAGCTGAGAGCTGCGCCCTCGGGTTAAAGTTCCAAATGGCTCGACAGCGCAGAGCCGGGACAGAGGCTGAAATAGCCACAGCCACTCACCTTGGGCTCTAGCAGAAAGAGGGCAGAATGGACTGAAATTGTGTGGGGACACGCGAGATCTGGAGGGTCGTCAGAGGTTTTGCTGAGTTGCAGCCAGGACAGTTGTCATTTTACTCATTCCCAGGGCTCTGGGGAGAGGCAGAGGCCCCTCCCTAAGACATTCAACCCCACCTGGTGGCCATTGAAATGCTAATTGAGGGTCATTAACAACCAGCATCTGCCCCACCTTCTGGAAAGCCCCTTACTCTGAGCATCTGAGGGAGATTCTATTCAACTCAGAAGCCAAGGCTCTTCAGGTAATTGCTACTGATAGCCTCCAGGAAAAAAGTTAGAGGATAACTGTTCCACTCCTGGGCTAGCAACTCTAACCAGAAAAGTAAGAATTGACAGCGGTGTTTACATGTGTCCTCCTGGCTCATCCAAACCCAGGAGAGGGAGCCACAAACAGCAGAACCCCAACACCCACAGGGAAAGTTTAGCAGACTCCAAAGCCCACTGTGATAGCCAAAATGGTGAAACACAGAAACAAAAGCCAAATGAAAGAACAATAGATTTCTACGGAAAATGAGCTAAATGAGGTGCAGTTAAGCAAGTTAACAGAACTAGAATTCAGAGCCATGATCTTGAGGAAGCTCAACAGCATTTGTAAGGACATGAGCACCATGAATAAAGACAGAAATGATGAAAATCAACCAATTGAAAATTAAAAACCAGCAAATAGAAATAAAGAATGACATATCAGAAATAAAGAACACATTGGAAAGTCTAAATAGCAGAGTAGAGGAAGCTGAGGACCAGATCAGTGAATTAGAAGATAGGGTAGGAAAAAACCAATCAGAAAACCAAAAGAAAAAAATAATTAAGAAACAGGAAAACAGCTTAAGAGAACTGTAATAAAACAACTGGAAACGTAATAACATTTGCATTACAGGAGTCCCTGATGAAGAAGAAAACGAGCAAGGATTACAGAATATATTTGAAGAAATAGTGACAGAAAACTTCCCTAATTTGGTGAAGAAAGAAGACATTCAAGTTCAAGAAGCACAGAGAGCCCTAACGAAGAAGAACCCAAACAGGCCCACACCAAGACACAGTGTAATCAAAATACCAAAAATTAAAGACAAAGAGAGAATCCTAAAAGCAGCAAGAGAGAAGCAACAGGTTACCTACAAAAAAAACCCATAAGACTCTGAGCTGACTTCTCAACAGAAACATTACAGGCAAGAAGGGAATGGCATGAGGTAATCAAGGTCATGAAAAACAAGGATCTGAATCCAAGACTACTCTACCCAGCAAGGCTATCATTGAAAATAGAAGGTCAAATAAAGAGCTTCCCAGACAAAAAAAGGCTAAGGGAATACATTAGCACCAAACCAGCACTGCAAGAAATGTTAAAAGGATTGCTGTAATTACCAGAAGAAATGGGAAGAAAAATAGAACCACAATAAACAAAAATGGCAATAAATAAGTACATATCAATAATCACCTTAAATGTAAATGGATTGAATGCTCCCATAAAAAGACAGAGTAGCTGATTGGATAAGAAAGCATGACTCCTCTACATGTTGTTTACAAGAGACCCACCTCACAACAAAAGACTCACATAGATTGAAAGTGAAGGAATGGAAAAAATCTCCCAAGCAAAGCAAAGGAAAGAAAAGCTGGGGTAGCAATACTCATATCTAATAAAATAGATTTCAAAATGAAGTTCAAAACTAGAGACAAAGAAGGCCACTACATAATATTGAAAGGATCTACCCAAAAGGAAGATATAACCTTGATAAACATATATGCACACCAAATATATTAAAAATCTTCTGGAAGACTTCAAAGAAGAAAACGACAGTAGTACAATCATGGCAGGGGACTTCAACACCCCACTGACATCACCGGATAGATCTTCTAGACAAAAAATTAGCAAGGAAACAGAGACTCTAAGTGAAGTGCTAGACCAAAAGGATTTAATAGATATCTACAGAGAATTACACCCCAAAACTACAGAATACACATTCTTCTCAAGTGCACATGGGACATTCTCAAAATGAAAAGACTTGTTAGGGCACAGACTAAACCTCTAAAAGTTTAAGAAAATTGAAATCATGTGAAGCATCCTCTCAAATCACAATGCCAGAGGCTAAATAGCATATTATTTAACAATGAATGGGTTACCGAGGAGATCAAGGAAGAAATTAAAAACTTCCTGGAAACCAATGAAAAAGAACACACAACAACACAAAATCTATGGGATGCACCAAAAGCAGTTCTGAGAGGGAATTTTTTAGCACTACAGGCCTACCTCAAGAAAAAAAAAAATCTCTAATAGACTATCTAACCTCACAACTTAAAGAAAGAGAGAGTAAACAAAAGGAAAACCCCAGACCAAGTAGAAGGAAGTAAATAGTAAAGATCAGAGCAAAAGTAAATGACATAGAGTCCAAAAAATCAATTCAAAGGATCAATGAAACAAAAAGCTAGTTTTTGGAAAAGATAAACAAGATTGATGGACTCTTAGCTAGACTCACCAAGAAACAAAGAGAGAGAACCCAAATACACAAAATCAGAAATGAAATAGGAGAAGTAACAACTGACACCACAGAAGTACAAAAGATCGTTAACAACTACTGTGAACAATTATATGACAACAAATTCGACAATCTAAGAGAAATGGACAAATTTCTAGAAACAAATATTCTCCCAAAACTGGATCAGGAAGAGATGGAAAACTTGAACAGATCAATAACAACAGAAGAAATTGAAGATGTAATCAAGACTCTCCCAGCAAAAAAAAGCCCAGGCCCGGATAGATTCAAGGGGGAGTTTTACCAAACATTCAAAGAAGAACTAACACCCATTCTCCTCAAACTATTTCAAAAAATTCAAGACGAAAAAAGACTTCCAAACTCGTTTCATGAAGCCAGCATAATTCTAATTCCAAAACCAGAAAAAGACACAACAAAGAAAGAAAACTACAGGCCAATATCCCTGATGAACATAGACGCCAAAATCCTGAACAAAATACTAACAAATCGAATCCAGCAATATATCAAAAAAATTATTCACCATGATCAAGTGGTATTCATCCCAGGGATGCAAGGCTGGTACATTATTCGCAAATCAATAAACGTGATACACCACATAAATGAAACGAAGAATAAAAACCACATGATCGTATCAATAGAGGCCAAAAAAGCATTCAAGAAAATCCAGCATCCATTTCTGATAAAAACGCTCAGAAATGTGAGAAGAAGAGGGATCATACCTCGACATAATAAAGGCCATATATAAAAGACCTACAGCCAACATAGTACTCAATGGGCAAAAACTAAAAGCATTTCCCTTAAGAACAGGAACAAGACAAGGATGCCCACTTTTGCCACTCCTATTTAACATAGTACTGGAAGTCTTAGCCACAGCAATCAGACAGGAAGAAAAAATAAAAGGGATCTATATTGGAAGGAGGAAGTGAAACTGTCATTATTCGCAGATGACATGATACTATACGTAGAAAACCCCAAAGACTCCATCAAAAATTTATTAGACTTAATAAATGAATTTGGCAAAGTAGCAGTATACAAAATTAACGTCAAGAAATCAATGGCATTCTTATACACCAATGATGAACTCACTGAAAGAGAAACTAAGAAAACAATCCCATTTACCATTATGGCAAAAAAAATTAAGATACCTAGGAATAAACTTAACCAAAGAAATAAAGGACCTATTCGCAGAAAACTACAGGTCATTGAAAAAAGAAATAGAGGAAGATATAAGAAAGTGGAAGCACATACCTTGTTCATGGATTGGATAAATTAACATCATTAAAATGTCCATACTACCCAAAGCAATCTATAGATTGAATGCAATCCCCATCAAAATACCAACAACATACTTCACAGAATTAGAACAAATACTTCAAAAGTTCATATGGAACCAAAAAATACCTTGAATAGCCACAGCAATCTTGAAAAATAAGAACAAAGTTGAAGGGATCACATTACCAGATTTCAGGGCATAGTACAAAGTGACTGTAATCAAAACAGCCTGGTACTGGCACAAGAACAGGCATATAGACCAGTGGAACAGAACAGAGAACCCAGAAATGGATCCAAGGCAATATGCTCAATTAATATTTGACAAAGGTGGCAAGAGCATACAGTGGAGTAAGGACAGCCTCTTTAATAAATGGTGTTGGGAAAATTGGACAGCTACATGCAAAAAAAATGAAACTAGACCATCAACTTACACCATACACAAAAATAAACTCAAAATGAATAAAAGACATAAATATGACCCGTGAATCCATAAAAATTGTAGAAGAAAATGTAGGCAACACAATTTCGGATATCATACGCAGCAGAATTTTCACTGATACATCACCTAAGGCAACAGAAACAAAGGAAAAAATGAACACATGGGACTACATCAAACTAAAAAGCTTCTGTACAGTAAAAGAAACAATCATCAAAATAGAAAGGCAACCCACTGTACCAGAGAACATCATTGCCAATGATATATCAGATTAGGGGTTAATTTTCAATATATATAGAGTGCTCATATAACTCAACAAAAGGAAGACAAAGAACCCAATTAAAAAATGGGCAGAGGAGCTGAATAGACACCTCTCCAAACAGGACATACAAATGGCCAAGAGACATATGAAGAAATGCTCAACATCACTAATCATCAGAGAGATGCAAATTAAAACAACAATGAGGTATCACCTCACACCTGTCAGAATGGCCGCCATCAACAAATCATCAAACAACAAGTGTTGGTGAGGCTGTGGAAAAAAGGGCACTCTAGTACACTGCTGGTGGGAATGCAGATTGGTGCAGCCACTATGGAAAACAATATGGTGTTACCTCAAAAAATTAAAAATTGATTTGCCATTTGACCCAGTGATCCCACTTCTAGGATTATACTGTAAGAAGCCTGAAACACCAATCAGAAAGAATATATGTACCCCCATGTTCATAGCAGCACTATTTACAATAGCTAAGATCTGGAAACAGCCCAATTGTCCATCAGTAGATGAATGGATAAAAAAGCAGTGGTACATATACACAATGGAGTACTATGCAGCGGTAAGCAAGAAAGATCTCTTATCCTTTGAGACGACATAGAGGGACCTGGAAAATATTATCCTAAGTGAAACAAGGCAAACAATGACAAGTATCATGTGATCTCACTTATTTGTGGAATATAATGAACACAACAGTCTGAGGAATGGGATAGTCCCAGAGACGTGGAAGTGGGGTACAGACTGACAATTCCCAGAAGAGGGGTGGTGGGGAAGAGATAAACCACAGAACTTATATGCATGTATGCATGAACAATGGACATGGACAACAAAGCTGGGGACAGGGTGGGGAGGGATGGGGTGGGGGGAATCAGTGGGGGGAAAAAGAGAAACATCTGTAACAAAAATTAATTAATTAATTAATTAAATAAATATTTAAAAAGGGAAATAATGTGTTAGAAGCAGAAGAATTATAGTCAAAAGAAGCTCTTGCTGAAACAGATGAAAAATAAATTAGAAATAATGTATTATATTGGGAAAAAAATAAAATAAATAAAAATCACTATGTCGTCTAAACATTGCAACTTTGCCAGCTGTACCTGGTTGGCACACACCAGTTTTCAGCCTCTAATGGTGGGAGTTACCTACATGACTCTCCTGAGGACCCAGAGAGAGTTACTGACAAGAGCACTTCTAATGGGACTTAGAGAAAAATAACAGAAGAAATCTATTTAATTGTTGAATTTAAAGATATTTATATTTTTCTTTTTTGTAAGGGATGACTAAAAAATCTACAGGAATGATAAGGAAATCAGGGAATGGAGAAAAACTGGCTGGACTCTGGGGCCTTGACCACCTCAAGGAAAGTTCTAGTTCAAGTCTATCAATATCCCAGAGAGTCTCCAATGAAACCAGCCCTGAGAATGACTTGGAAGATGTTGCCATTGATCTCTGCTGCTCCACATTGCAGGAGACCAAGAAGGTGCACAAGGGGGCCAATGCTCAAGGATGCTCAGATTCTGAGAGGCTGGAAGAGCTCCAGTCAGGGAAGGTGGGAGCCTTATGAGGCCCACAGGTCCCACCCTCAAAGGTTGGGAATATGCAAATTCTTCATTTCAGCTTTTTCAAAAAAGTCATCCAGGACAAATCATCTCAGTTGGATTTTCTTTCTAGTGTCAGGATAAATTTCAGTGCCACTTACTCTAAAAAGATGAGTGGGTAACTTAAGAAAAACTACATTTTGTTCTAGAATGGAAACCACTCCTTAATGGCACTTGAACCAGTTAATTTGGTGTAAAAATTTTATTGTCTTCTGTAGAACTCGAGCAGGGAAGATTTTTGTTAAAACAGCATTTTCACTGCTAGGCATTATTTGAGATTTGGTTCAATATGCTGTGTCAATAAATAGGTTAAGTCTGATATCCTCACTCTGAACTCAAAAATATAAAAGTACTTAACCTACAGAGAATCAGATATCTTCATAAAAAGTGAAGACCTCATGCAGACATATTAATGAGTTATATTATCTTTATCTTGAACTTGACTTCAGACATTTTAATTTTTTTGTCAGGCAATACTTTTGCATTCTCCTAAGTTTCATTTGATAAGCTATGTGTACTGGATCTTATATAAAACAAAGAAAGCCATGCTTGCTTCTTCCTTTTGGAAGTAACATGGGACCATATTTCAACAATAATTGTTGATTATCTATAAACAGTGTTTTAAGGTAAGAACAGGTTTCTTGGTCTTTTAAAAATCATGTTTGAGCCCAGGCCAGTTTGACTCAGAGGTTAGAACATCAGCCCATGGACCAGAGAGTCCTAGGTTTGGTTCCTACTAGGGGCATGTATCTCGATTGCAGTTTGTCCCCAGCCCCATTTGGGGTCATGTGGGTGGCAACCACTTGATGTATCTCTCTCACATCAATGTTTCTCTCTCTCTCTTCCTCCCTCTCTCCCTCCTGCTCTATCTAAGGATAAATGGAAAAATGTCCTCAGGTGAGGATAAAAAAAATTATGTTTGAAAGCACTTTAGTGATTGGATTTCATGACTATTTCCTTTCCTGTATTTTCTTTGCCACTTATTTATTATGTAAAAATAAACATTGTGTGGTGTGTTTGCTCTCAAGGTGCTCCTTCTATTACATAATTGTCTGTCTCCATGTCATTGCTGATCCCCTAACAAGTCTCCCCACTGCCATCCCCTTTCAATCTGGGAACATGCAATGCATTTCATTCTTCAGTCTGCAGCACTTACCATGTGTTGCTTTGTAAACTCCTGAGGTAGTGACCATGTCTAATTCACCTTTTAGAATTCAGAGTCCAGAGAGAGCTGAGGGGAAAATGCAGAGCTTCATGAAGAAGGCAGAGCCCAAAAAGAAAGTGGAAACACTACTTGGAAGGGTTTCCTCTAGAAATTGGTGCAATCATCTGTCAGGTGGGGCCTAGTTCTCCCATCTCTCCAGATGAGAAAACAAGGACTCCCTTCCTTTGGCTTATTTATATACTAGTGTGAAAATTAAATGTCACCTATCCTTACTGTAAAAACAGAAAACAAGATCATACAGCATTTGTCTTTCTGACTTATTTTATTAGCATAATGCCTTCAAAGTCCATCCATATTGTTGCAGATGGCAAGATTTCCTTTTTCTCTCATGGCTAAATAACATTCAAGTGTGTGTGTGTGTGTGTGACATTTTCTTTGTGCATTTATCTGTCAAAAAAAAAACACTTAAGTTGTTTCCATGTCTTAGTATTGTGAATAATTTTGCAATGAACAGAGGAGTACAGGTAACCTTTAAAGATAGCGATTTCATCTCCTTTGGACATACATCCAGAAGTGGGATTACTAGATCACATGGTAGTTTCATTTTTAATTTTTTGAGGAATTTCTATATCATTTTCCATAGTGGCTGCACCTGCCCATTATCTCTTAATAGTGTGTGTACTTCCTAAGAATAAAAACATTCTCTTACATAATTTGAATAGTTTTCAACTTCAGAAAATCTGAATACAATGTTTTAATTCAAATCTAAACACAGCCCAGCCAGTGTAGCGCAGTGGATTGAGTGTCGTCCCATAGACTGAGAGGTCCTGGTTCAATTCCTGGTCAGGGCACATGCCCTGGTTGCAGGCTCAATCCCTAGCTGGGGGGGCATGCACTAAAGAGGTGATCGGTGTGTCTCTCTCACATCAAAGTTTCTATCTGTCTCTCCCTTCCTTTGTCTCTAAATAAATCAATAAAAATATATTTTTAAAAAATCTAAATAAAATATTCTAAACCTGAATAGAATACAGTATTCTAAAACTGAATAAAATATTTTCATTTAATATAATATAGTATAGTTAGTTGTAAGACAACAAAAAGCTAGGAAAATTCTGGGACAAGTGGAATAGAAAAACTGAGGCAGAAAAATTAAACAAAGCCAAAAAGCTTTGCAGGCTGCTTGTAGTAGAACCTTATCTTGAGAACAAAGGGCTAAGACCTTATAACAAAAGAATGCAGGACAGGACTGGGAAGGGAAGGGAAGAGGAAGAGGAGGAATCCTAATTTAACTTCTCACTAACCAGAGACTATTTAGTGGAAATCATCGTGGAGCTATTAAGACAGTAAGGAGGAAAGGTGAGGAAAAGTATAGTAGTAGCTCATCTCACTATTTATTTATTTATTTATTTATAAAATATGTTTGTATTGATTTTTTTTTTTTTAGAAACATCTATTGGCTTCACGCCCCCCCCCCCCCACTGGGGATCTAGCTGCAACTGGGGCATGTGCCCTGCCCAGGAATCAAACCAGGACCTCTCAGTCCATGGGCCAATGCTCAATCCACTGAGTCACACCAGCAGGTTCATCCTACTGTTTAAACAGAGAGGCCAGCAGTCCCGCTATTTAATTGCCAGGTGCTTCTCATAAATTCTGGGACAAGCCATTAACAATAAAAAGGGGAGACCTTCAGTCTGGCCTGTGTGGATCAGTGGATTAAGCACATCCCATGGACTGAGAGGTGTGGATTGGATTCTTGGTCAGGGCACATGCCTGGGTTGCCAGCTAGATCACCAGTGATGGGGGAGAGGGGCAAGTATGCAGGAGGCAGACAATCGATGTTTCTCTCTCACATCGATGTTTCTATCTCTCCCTCTCTCTCTGAAAAATAAAATTTTTAAAAAGGGTGAGATCTTCAGAGTTAATTTATACCAGGTTCTACAGAATCTTGTCATTCTGAGAAAACCTTTCAATTGCCTCGGGTTCCATGGTGAAGCTAGACTGACTATTACTGCCTTTCCCTCTGCAGGTAGGCTTCTTTGCCCTTGGGAAATGAGGAAAACACAAGATACTTAACTTCTGGTTTGGATATCTGGGATACTTGGTATCCCTTTTCTGCTAGATAGTTTAAGGTCAAAATAGTGTTTCTGTCTGAAGTTTCTTTATCAGGCAGTTAAAACATTATCTGCATATTGTAGTACAGTCTCATTTTCAAGTTGGAGGTCTCTTAAGTCTTTTGCAAGAACTTCCCCAAAGAGAGTTGGGAAGATTTTGTAACCTATGGTAACACAGTTCAGCAATCCTTGGACTTGTTGATGGGTATCAGAATCTTCCTATTCAAAGGCAATTTTTTCTAGGAATCATGGTCCAAGGGAATGCAAAAGAAAGTATCCTTTCAATCTAGAATTATGTAATATTTTCTCGATTCTGGGATATTGGCAAACAGGGTATAGGGATTAGAAACAATAGGTTGTACATCCCCTACTATTTCATTTATGACCCTTAAGTCTTTTATATATCTATATTCTCACATCCCCAATTTGAAAATATTAGGAGCTCAAGTCTGATAGTGAAGACTGGAAACAATTGTGGGCACAGGTTGTAATTAAACAGGAGGGAAAAGTAAGGAGAATCAGCTGATGCCACGAAGGCTGCTCACAGGAGGCCACCACCTGCCTCACCTTTTATCTTGGGCCCCAGATGTCCACACTAGCAGGGTCAGCTCCTACTCCAATCCAGGCAGGATAGTTTAATGTTAGGAGAATTTTTGACAAGTTGAAAAAGGGAAATTGAGACAGATAGACAAATGGGACCAAACAATTCAAGTAATTTATAGCCAGCAAGTAAACCACAAGATTTTATCTTCCCTAACAAAGGACAACTGAAAGCAAATGGTTTACACCTCTCCTCCCTAATCAGAGAGTAAATAGCTTAAATCACCCTAGTCAGGGAGATAAATGACAGAGACCCAATTAGTGCCAGCTGTGCCAGCCAAACCCAAGAATGGATGAAGTCAGGGGAATAAATAACAATAACAACAAAAATTAGAACCAAACAAATCCAAGATAGAGGTAAAGCAGACCAGAAAATGACCCTGGTACCTTTAGGCACTCATTTTGCCACATCAATGTACCACAGGAGCTCCAAACCAGGGAGCAACTCTGTTTTTGTATAGTGCCCCCCCCCCCCAAAAAAAACCCCAAAAAACAAAACAAAAAAGACATACAGGGGAACCAAAGTGGAAGGACATGGCCTTTATTACTTACACAATGGGGAATACTTGATGATAGTGGGTTGGGTGAACTATCACACTTGACCAGAGTAAGGCAGGGGCTTATCTAGCAGTGGGGAGGAGGAGGGTGATATGCTGGGAACAGCTTGCTTTGCAGGCTAAAGACAAAGCAAACTTTGCTTGCTGTCAAGGATGTGGAAAAACTCCTGGTTCTTGCTGCTCTGCTCCGGGTGGCAGCCGGCCAGATGGACACTATTCAACTGACTGGGAGGGGAAATCAGGCTATATCCCTATGTGATTCTACACTCCACACTGATATCACCTGTTCTACTCACAGTCTATGTGTCAGTCTTCCAGCCAGGGACCTGTATGGTTAGGGCATTAGTACATTGCAACCAAATGCAGTATAGGCTACAGGCACAGAGTAATAGCAGAAGGCGTAGACCCACAACCCCTAAAAGGGTGTAGCACCTCCAGGAGTCAAGTGAGTTCCACCAGAAGATGAGAGGGTGATTGCCTAGGGCAGAGATGGTGCTGATTTCTGCCCTCAAGGCCTGCAAGGCTAAATTGAC